TTTGCTGAAACTACAAAAAATTAGATATACGTTATATATATATATATATATTTAGTATATTAGTAGAAATATAATAATAATTGCATTGAATTTCACAATTTTGGCATTTTTTTGCTATCTGTCCAGATATCACTGTTATTAGGATATGATATGATTTTTATTAGATTTACAATTGGTTTCTCTCTCTCTCTCTCTCTCTCTCTCTCTCTCTCTCTCTCTCTCTCTCTCTCTCTCTCTCTCTTTCTTTCTTTATTTTCTATAACTATAGCTATAATATATATAATAATAATAATAATAATAATCCATGAAACCATATAAACCAGTGGACCAACAAAACTTATAATGTAGTGAATTTCATTATACATTGACTGGTGATATCCAAACAAGCATTTTATTTCATATATATTTATATACTGTATAATACATAGAGATGGGCAAATTGAAATTTCTAATAAATTTCTTTGAGAAAATTTCTAGTTAATTTCTTATGAATAAAATTTATTTTAAGATAAATTTTATTTTATTATTATTAATATAATTTATATAACATATATGTTATATAATAAAGCATCAGATATAGTGATAATTATATTATTGATGATACTGTGAAATATTCAATATTATTATAAATTTATAATAATATTATTATATAATATACATACATATAGTATATATATATATATATATATATATATATATATATATATAATTTATACTATAGAAAATATAATCATTGAAATGCGAAATAACAACAAAAAACAAAACTAATACATAAAGTTTTTTTATTATGTTTTTTATATACAGTATTTATAATTTTGTTGTAAATTTTAGTTTTGTTTGTTTTATTTTTGTTATGCTTGTTGTGTTAACAATACCCAATATATTGTTTGAATTTGTTTGTATGTATGTACTCTATGTATGTGTGTATGTGTGTATGTGAGTGTGTTTGTATGTATGTGTGTGTATGTATGATTGTGTATGTATGTGTGTATATGTATGTGTGTGTATGTGTATGTATGTATGTGTGTGTATGTATGAGTGTGTATGTATGTATGAGTGTGTATGTATGTGTGTATATGTATGTGTGTGTATGTGTATGTATGTATGTGTGTGTATGTATGAGTGTGTATGTATGTATGAGTGTGTATGTATGTGTACATAATAGTCTAGAGTTTTTTAAATTTACTAAAGGAAATAATATAATTTACTAACCAAAAATAATAATAATAATAATAATAATATAGAAAGTGTAATATGTTTTGTAATATAGTCGTGTATGCGTTGGTTGGTTAGAAAAAATAAATAAAATAAAAATATATACAGTATTATAAAAAAAAACTAGAAAATAATAATAAAAATAATAATATTGTTAACAATATCAGAGCCACTAAATTACACTATTACTGTGTGTGTGTGTGTGTGTGTGTGTGTGTGTGTGTGTGTGTGTGTGTGTGTGTGTGTGTGTGTGTGTTAGAAATGTACGTAAAATATATATCTAATATAAAATACTGTTATAAATAAAATACAATAGAGTTATATACATTATATATATATATATAACTTATATATTTATATACATTGTATTATATATTAACATTAATCATCTACGGTATGTCTGTATATTATATACATATATATAAAAAATATATGATATAATCTATTGTATAAAATTGCATATATGACACATTAGACTTTCTATCCCATACTATATATGCTTTTATGTTTATTATATTATATTATATTTTGCATGCACTGTAAAATATAATATTAAAAAATAGGTAATATAGCATATTATATATATATATATATTATATTATATAATATTATCCAGTATTATATTTATAATATACAAGAGAGATAGACCATTGCAACAACAAAAATTAAATTGCAATATTTGCAAATATTTTTTGTTTTTAATAATAATAATAATACATATAAATAATAGATAAAATATCCATAAAGTATCTATTTTTTTAAAAATAGTATTTATGTGGGTGCTTAAATTTTTGTTTGTTTGTATATATAATAAGTGGGAATATAATCTTAATAAATATTTATTTTATTTTTTTTTGTTGTGCAAATCAACAATAGCTATACCCATACACACACACACACACACACACACACACACACACACACACACACACACACACACAATCGTACTGTTATTATTGTTATGCAAATGTATGTTAATTTACTGTGCAATTTTCAATAAACTTATATTTAAACTGTATTATAATATATATATATATATATATATATATATATATATATATATATATATATATATATATATAACGATCTGACATTACATTAACCCGCAAAAAACATCTCACATTTTATCGACTATTATTTTTTCATCGAAACACACAAACACATACATCCACACACATACACATACACACACATACACACACATACACACACACACACACACACACATACACACACACAAACCAACTATCAACGACTTGTTATGACAATAGAATTTTTTTTGCATAAAATTAGTCACAAAAAAAATCTATTCAATATCTTTAATGATATATAAATTTATATAATATTAAAATTTTATTGTATTTTTAAATTTATTTTTAGAAATATTTACTGTGCATTCCTATTATTATTATTATTATCGTAATTATGATATAACCTTTAAAAATTATATAGTTTATTAAATATAACAGTTTATGAGTTATTTTGTATTAATAGTTTACAATTTTCTATTAATAGAATTTTATAAATTAAAAAAAAATATTAAAATATATATCAAAATTATTATTTATTTACATTTTTATTAAATAAATAAAATCATATTTTAAGATATAATTTTTTAATTTATTATAAAAACCCATATATATATATATATATATATATGATTAAATATATTTATTATTTTAATACTATTTATCATTTTATATAAAATATTTTTATATATTTATATAAATAAGATTTTTTTCGGTTAATATTTAATAAATTATTTTATTATTTTTTAAAAATATTTAGCTTATATATATATATGTAAAATAAAGTATATGTTTGTTTAAGGGATATATTTTTGATTAGATATACCCGTATCGCAACAAAACGATATTTTATCGGAAATATGATTTATTTGGTTTTATTTCACTTGATTTGATATCTAAATACATTTGCATTATTAATAATAATATATGATTTTCGGTGTAAATATTTTGCATATATATATATATATATATATATATATATATATATATATATATTGATACAGTGTATATACATATTGATATACAGTAATTGAATAGAGCACACACACACACACACACACACACACACACACACACACACATACACACAAATAAATATTTAGTTATATTTGCATAAAATATTATTATATAATAAGATATAATATATAAAAATATTTTTCTCGTATAAAGTTTAACAATCAATAGTAGTATTTCTATGATTATAAGTAAAGTTTATTGAAGAAAAAAATTTTTTGAAATATAAGATTACATTAGATATTGAATGATTGAGAAATAGTGAGTGAGTGAGTGAGTGAGTGAGTGAGTGATTGAGTGATTGAGTGAATAAGAGAGAGAGAGAGAAAGAAAAAGAGAGAGAGAGAGAAAGAGAGAGAGAGAGAGAGARAGAGAGAGAGAGAGAGAGAGAGAGAGAGARAGAGAGAGAGAGAAAGAGAGAGAGAGAAAGAGAGAGAGAGAAAGCAAAATGATTACTATTTTTAGACTTTTTTCTAACCAAACAAACTAACAAAAAATTAGTTGAATGAATTATTTTGTTTTATTATAAACAAACAAATAAAAAATTTATCTTAAACTTTTATAATATGATAAATCAATTTTTATAACTATTGTGGTCAAAATTAATTGTTGTCTATTTATATATATTTATTTATTTATCTAAATGTCATCATTTAGTTTCTATATATTTGTCTCAGATTTAATCTCATTGTGTATATTTTGTTGTTGTTATATACAGTATACAGTGTATTATACTGTATATTGAAATATATTTAAAGCTAAATATATGTATATTTATATATATATTAATATACTGTATATAAAAAAAAATTTGTTTGATAAGATAATATAATAATTATTGTATAATTTATATCAATTTTTGCAATAAAAATGTACACAAAAATATATGATTATTGAAATTTTTTATTTTAAAAAACAGTCAATTAAATAGTCAATTTTAGTTAGCAATTAAACAAAACACAAAAAAACATAGTGTTATTATATTAATAACAATCATAAAACATTGCAATTATATTATATAATAGCAATTATATTATCTAAAAACATTTTTAGCAATGAGAATAATATATATTAAAATTTTTTATTATTATTACTGTATTATCATTTTGTTATTATTATTACTGATATTTTTATATGACTTTCAACAACAACAAAAAATGTGATCATAATAAACATTAATAAATTAACAGTAAATAATATTTAATGTGATATCGTCTATGTAACAGTAATAGGACAATATATATATATTATATATAATATACTGTATCTAATAGATAAAGAGGACAGATATGTAATAGTAACTGATATGTGAAAATAATTTGACAGATTAATTGTTTGTCCATTTAGCAATATATTAGTATATTAATACTGTATATAGCATATTAAAGAGAGAGAGAGAGAGAGAGAGAGAGAGAGAGAGAGAGAGAGAGAGAGAGAGAGAGAGAGAGGTATAGTTATAACACTTGTAATATTGAAAATTAATGCTTAAATAAATATTATGCCATTTTTTTGTTGTTGATTTGTTTTTATTTTGATTGTATTATAGCCAAAAACAACTCATTACTTGAAGTATTAAATATCTATTAATCTATTTTTATTGTATTTATTTATATTTCATTTATTCAAAAAAAAAACAAAAACAAAAATCATATTTCAAACATATTTAAAATATATAGATATTAAATATTATATCATAAATATGTATATATATTGTATAATATTGTATAATAATTTTACGCATACCTGCATAGTTAGGTCGCACCCGTTTATCGTAACCGCCATCAAAAAATTTGTTCAATATTCTGGTAATGTCCTGGCCTATTTCGGTTTGCCTATTATTTTTTGTTGTTGGGTAGGGTAGGTTAGGGTAGGGTAATACACAGTTAGATATAAGTTTTAAAAAATTAATAAATAAAATAAATTATTTTTTTAAAAATAAAAATATATCTAAATTTTTTGTTTTTCTAAAAATATTTTTTTTTAAATGTAGAATAAGTATTAAATATTAATTAAAAAAATTATAGTTTAAAAAATATTCTATACATATATAATAATGTAAATTATATATATATATACAATATTATATATATATATATACAATGTATAGAATATATTCTAGATATATATAGAATGTATAGAATATATTCTATATATATAAATATTACAATTTGCAAATATAATAATTATAATAATAATAATACTATATATGGTATAAATGAGAGCAATAAAAAACAAATAGCAATAAAATTGATTAAAATTTTAATTATTAATTACGTGCTAAAAGTATAGTATATATATATATTTTATATAATAATATTTTTCATATGTAAGATATATTATTAATCATATTAATGATTTTAGTCACACGTGTGTATGTGTGTGTGTGTGTTAGTATTATTTTTAGGTAGCATTTATTTTTTGTTTTTTAATTAATTATTTAGTATAAATTGATATAAAAATTTTCAATATTTATATTTAACATAAAGAAATAGATTAATATATTATTTTATTAAATTGATTTTTTTTTCATAATAAATAATAATATACATTATATGTTTAATTACATATAACTTATTTTTTTAATAAATAAATACATTGTAATTAAAATTAATAGATTTCAAATAATTATATATATATATATTTATTTAGATATTATTACTTTTCATTCAATAGTTATTTAAAAAAAATTTTTAAAATATATTTGAAATATATATATACACAAAAAACTGATTTAATATTTATTATAATTTTAAATATTTATGAAAATAATAATATATCTATCAAAAAAAAAATTTTTTATTGTAAATATTATAGAATACTTAAATTTTCCAAATATTATATTTAGTTAAATTGTTTAAAATTAATAACATAGTTACATGCAAATACACTATTTTATACAAACAAAAAATTATTATTATTATTATTAAAATATATACATATAAAAAAATATGACATGCTATAAATTAAATTAAACGCTAACACACACACACACATTGATATACATATACATATATACACTTACATATACACAAACACACATACATACATAAGTTACATACACATACATACATACGCACACATATATACACATACATTAACCAACACTATTGTGATTATAATTATTGTTGTATTTTATGCAACAAAAAATTTGTTTTGACATAATAGTCAAACTTATTAAATAATAAATGAATTGAATTGAATGAAAATATTTTTTACCAATTTTTTTATATACTGTAATACATAGTCAGAGAGAGTGTTTACTATCAGTGATTTTTCATCGCTATTTTTTATGTATTAAATTGAAGACAACTAACAAAACAAAAATTGTGTGATAAAAGATTGAGTACTTATTGAGTGTGTGTTAGTGTGTGTGTGTGTGTGTGTGTGTGTGTGTGTTAGTGTGTGTGTGTTTGTGTTAGAGAGGGGTAAAACAAAATTGCGTGTAATTTATAAGAAAAGCCATTAATATGGGGAATGTTTTCTCGAACACATACACACACACACACACATAGCCAGTCAATGGGATGCCATACCACTTGCTAACTGTGCCGTCAAAGTAATGGAAGAGAGAGAGACGGGTATTAAGTCTTTAGGCGATACGATATATAGATATATATATATAGAGAAGGATATATATATCTCATCGCTTATATAATAAGTGAAATGAAAGTCACACACACACACACACACACACTCACTCACACACATTGTATTTATATTATACACATTATACTATACAGTAGTATATATGATGAGAACGGGATATGAATTTTCTTTCTTAATTTTTTTTTCGTTTTATGTTTGAAATGTAATATATAGTAAAATATAAAAATGTGTTTTATAAAAGTGTTAGGAAAGAAAAATGTTTAGTAATGTTAGAATATATATACTGTATGTATATATATACTATATATTGAATATATATACTATATATTGAATATATATACTATATATTGAATATATATATACAGTATATAAATATAAATATATAGATTTGAGGGAAAGTTGTGAACAAAATTATAGACAATGAATTAAATGTGAACATTATTTAGACAGTAGTTTATTATTGAAGACTTATTATGAAAAATATATAAATCTATATAAAGTATATATATATATATACTTTATATGATACTTGATTTAGTTGAGCGCCTTTTTCCTTATACAGTGTATATATATATATACAATATATTGAAGCACTGGTACCCTATTAACTACAATGACAAAAAAAACTAGTGGGGTATTAGTTATTGTATATATATATAATATAAAAAGTATTAAAGTGTTTAATGACGGAAAAAATTATAAATCAATGTCTCGTTTTTTACACACAAACTATATATATATAAAATATCAAAATATCTTATACACACACACAAACACACATACATACACACACTTACACACACACACACACACACAAACTCAAACAATACAATATTAAATACTGTATACTGTAAGTGCATAAAACTGTACTGTACTGTACAGTACTGTGCTATTTATAGCACACATAGATTCCCAGGCATTGGTAAAGCACTTGTAATTTTGTAATGTCGGTGCTGGTAATTTACAGACAACTACAGTATTATACTGTACTATTATATATTGATATATATATATATATATATATATATATATATATATAGTATATAAATWAATATATGATTYCTGGCAACAAACTATATCTCATCGATGTATTAATAAATATCTAATAATTATAATTTAATAAATTATATTAATTAATAACAATATATATATTGTATAATGTATTTACAATTCGATAAATTATTATATAATAGATATTAGGGAATCAAATGGGAAAAAATTATATTTTATTTATATCTAATTGGCCAATGGATATAATTTTTATTTATTATTATTATTATTATTATTATTATTATTATTATTATTATTATTATTATTATTATTATTATTATTATTATTATTATTATTATTATTATTATTATTATTATTATTATTATTATTATTATTATTATTATTATTATTATTATTATTATTATTATTATTATTATTATTATTATTATTATTATTATTATTATTATTATTATTATTATTATTATTATTATTATTATTATTATTATTATTATTATTATTATTATTATTATTATTACTGTATTATTACAAAATAATATATATATATATTATTTATGCATTTATTATTAGTATTATATATAGAAATATGGTGATAAATTTAGATGTATAGAACAAATACAATATATATATACATAAATTTATATATATAGCTATTATATAATGTGTTTGGATGGCACATATAAAACATTATGTTATTTTAGGTAATAATAATAATAATAGAGTAATAATAATAATAATAATACTAATATTGCACAATAGATATAAATTATATCTAACCATGTATCTATAAATTATATATATATATTTATATATATATATTGTATTTGCACTGTATATTACGTTAAATAATTTTGTACATTACATGATACGACAATAATAATAAAAAATATAGTATTAATAATATCATTATTTTATTTAAATAGATTAGATTATGTACGTTAATCTATTTTTTCTAGAAAAATAATATTTAAGAAAATTTATATTTTATAAAATATACTTTAGAAAAACAAAATTGAATAATAAATTTTAAATTATAAATTATTATAGCATCAGTAAATTCACTTTTTTTATAAAAAAAATATAATTAATTTTGTCATATATTTTACACACTCATTGAAAAAAAAATAAATATCAATATTTCTAAATATAGTCTAAAATATTATTTAATGTAAAAAAATATATTTATAAAAAATTTAATTTACTATATATATATTAATATAAATTTATATATATATATATATGTCTATTACTAAAATTAATGTATTGAAATTCATTATGTAAATTTTTTTTGTATACAAATTTATATTAATATATATATCATAAAGGATATTGATGATTTAATGGATAAATATTATTATATATATATATATATATATCGTTACATGTATATTAAAACTATATAATATTATTATTATATTTTGTTTATATGATTATTATTAATAGTTTATTGGTTTGCGAAATACTGGTATATGTCATGTCAATGGAAAATAAATGTCAATAAATTTAACATTAAAAAAGACATTAAATCTTTTTTTTAAAAAAAATATTCTGTATATTAAGTAATCCTTTAGTTTGTTGTTAATGCTCTCTCTCTCTCTCTCTCTCTCTCTCTCTCTCTCTCTCTCAATGTATATATATATATATGTGTGTGTGTGTGATGTGAAAGTAATGATTTTATTAAATGCGAATTAATTTTGTGAAAATAATATATGAGTTTTTTTTGTTGGTATACAGTATGTGTTGTTATAATAATATAAATGACTCTTTTTTTATTATTTTGCTTTTTTACTTAACAATTTAACAATACATAGAAAATAATTTTATTTTTTTGGATTATACTATGGGGTGGAGTTAACAATATAATATAGAAATATAGTGTTTATATATTATTATATATAGTATATATATATATACATACAATTAATTCAAGTGTATCCATCAACATAATAATAATAATAAATTGTGTGTATATGTGATCAATCAAAACAATAAATATAATATACTATAGTATTAATAATTATTTTATTTTGTTGATTAAATTCTATAACTATTATGTTATAATTAATGTTTAGTTTTTTTAATTATTTTATTAAAAAAAATTATTAGAGTATATTATGTATTAAAAAAGGTATTACACCAACAATTTCTATATACAATTGTATATTACTATTTTCATATATATATATATATATATATATTATAAATAACATATTTTATA